TCATTTACCCAACTGACTGAAAAATATAATATTTCAAAAAAGGACCTTTTCTGATACTTACAAATAAGAGACTTTATCAGGAGGGACACTACTCTTCTGGTGTGCCAGGATGTGTAAGATACTGAGCGCCAGGTGTTTTCTGCCAGGTCGGTTACTTCTATTTGTACGTTTTATAATATCATTAAATGCTATAAAACAACGGAAACTGCCTGTCTGAGAGAACTGTGGGAATGGGAACTCAACTGCAACATTACTGAAGATGACTGGAACAATGCTTTGAGAAACGTAAGAACCTTAAGTGTATAATAGGGTTAAGTGTAATAGGGTTAAAGCGACCCAACTTATGATTCTTCACAGAGCTCATATCTCACCCTACCGAAGGCAGAAATTTAATCCCACCGCATCTTCACAGTGCCTGAAATGCAAAACTGAGGTTGGCACTCATTAAGGTGAAGCAATTCTGGCAGATTATCGGAGGGGAAATGAACAAAATTTTGTTTGCGAACTTAAACAATAATCCCTTATTTCTGTTGTTGGGAGTGGTCGATCCGGTTGTCAGTGGTAATTATGAAAGGAGACTCTACAGCATATTGACTTTCTGTGCCATAAAGTGTCTTCTCCTAAACTTGGTAGCGGACAAGATCCCATCCAAAACACAGTGGCAGAGGTTTGTGCTCAGTTATGCCTCTCTTGACTGTCTAACATGTCGACTGCACTGCAGGGATGAAGCCTTCGCCAGGACGTGGAAACGTTTTCTACTGTACGTTGGACTGGATGTCTCTGCATTCTTTGCTAGAGCTTTGGTGAAGGGACACCGTTGTGCTAACCGACACCTGAATCTGAACTTGTATATATGCGACGAAAGGGAGTCAAGAGTTTATGTTGTTGTTTATGTTTGTTATTGATGTGAAAATAAAATAATAAAAATTATATTTAAAAAAAACAAAAAAATAAACAGCTTTTTTATATTTTCTGATAATTGACAGTTTTTTACTCTGTACATTATTTGTCCAGTTTTAAATTTCACAAGATCCATAAATTCAACGATTTGAGATTCACAAAATAATGGATTTGTGTGCTCCAGATATCCCGCTTTATGAATGGTTCTTATTGTTTTTTTTGGTAATGTACAAAGTGGATGTAAAGTGCTTTTGTATATATTTTCCCAAATCTCCACACAATAACTCAAATATGATACAACCATTCAATAGTAGATGATTTTTAATAATTATGTGTTTAGCAAATGCCTCATTTTTGCCATAACAGTAATACTTTTTGCCGCTTTTGATTTTATGTATTTGATGTGAGGCTTCCGGCAAATTTTATAATCCAGCATAATACCAAGAAATGTATATTCATCCGTTCAGTACCTATGTTTTCTATCATTATTTGTATTTGTTCTGGTATGTTTTGTTTTCCAAACCATATAATCTTTGTTTTACTTACATTTATTGACAATTTATTCATATCAAACCATAGTTTAAAATATTAATTTTTGATGTTTTGTCTGTAAAAGTTGTAAACTCTCCCCAGAACAAAAAATATTGGTATCATCTGCAAATAAAATAAATGTAATTTATTTTTGATACTTTACATATGCCATTTATATGAGGAACACCACAATGTATGTCCCTGTAAGCAGATTTGTATTCACCTATTTATACAAACTGTTGTCTATTCTTTAAGTAACTAATTATCCAGTTGAGTCTCACTCCCCTAATACCATAGTGTTCTAGTTTTGTAAATAAAATCTTGTGGTCAATGGTATTGAATGCTTTCGTTAGGTCTATAAATATTCCTGGTGCATATATTTTATTATCTATTTCATTTGTGATTTCTTCGACTAATTCTAACAATGGTAGAGATGTTCATCTTTCTTTTCTGAAACTGTATTGACTGTCAAAAGAGAAAAAGGTCTGTAATTTGTAAAACGGTGGCTATCGCCTGTTTTATACAGGGGTATTATCATCCATCCATTTTCTTCCACTTATCCGGAGCAGTAGCCTAAGTCGAGAGGCCCAGACTTCCCTCTCCTCAGCCACTTGGGCCAATTCTTCCGGGGGAATCCTAAGGCATTCCCTGGCCAGGTGAGAGACATAGTCCCTCCAACGTGTCCTGGGTCTCTCTTTAGGCCTCCTCCCAGTTGCATGTGCCCAGAAAACCTCACCAGGGAGGCTTCCAGGAGGCTTCCTGACCAGAAGCCTGAGCCACCTCAACTGACTCCTTTTGATGTGGAGGAGCAGCGAATCTACTCTGAGCCCCTCCGGGAATACTGAGCTTTTTACCCTATCTCTAAGGGAGCCCCCCAGCCACTCTGCTGAGAAAACTTATTTTGGCCACTTGTATCCGCAATCTCATTCTTTCAGTCACTACCTAAAGCTCATGACCGTAGGTGAGGATAGGAACGTAGATCAACCGGTAAATCGAGAGCTTTGCCTTCTGACTGAGCTCTCTCTTCACCACCACAAACTGGTACAATGCCCGCATTATGGCAGATGCAGCACTTTCCCTCACTTGTGAACAAGACCCCTAGATACTTAAACTCCTTCACTTGGGGCAGGACCTCATCTCTGACCCGGAGAAGGCATTCTACCCTTTTCCGAATCAAGACCATGGTCTCAGATTTAGAGGAGCTGATTCTCATCCCAGCTGCTTCACACTCTGCTGCAAACCGCTGCAGTGAAAGTCAAAGATCACATTCTGATGAAGCCAACAGGACCACAACATCTGCAAAAAGTAGAGACCCGATCCTCAGGCCACCAAAATAGATCCCCTCAACAACTTGGCTGCACCTAGAAATCCTGTCCATAAAGGTTATGAACAGAATCGGTGACAAAGGACGGCCTTGGTGGAGTCCAATTCTCACTGGGAATGAGCTGGACTTACTGCTGGCAATGCGGACCAAGCTCTGACACCGGTCATACAGGGACTAATAGCCCCTATCAGAGGGCCTGGTACCCCATACTCCTGGAGTACCCTGCACAGCCCCCCCCCACCCCACCCCACCCCCCCCACCCCCCCGAAGGATGCCGTCAAAGGCCTTCTAAATCCACAAAACACATGTAGACTGGCGGGGCAAATTCCTACGCACCCTCCAGGATCTGCCTAGGGGTATAGAGCTGGTCCAGTGTTCTACGGCCCAAAATTATCGGTATAGCCGTAAGGTTCCAGCTGCCATATTTGCTACAAGAAGTCTTTACCGACAAAAGGAGGAAGCTGCACTCTACACATGTAGAATGTAGATTTGTGAGGAGCACCACCCCCTGCAGGCAGCTGTTGGATCGCTATGGATTTTTCACAGAGCAAGGTCTGTGATAGCGGTGATGGCGTGTCCACGCTCTCCCCTCGGTTAGAGGTTGAAGCATCGTTTGTAGATGCTTCTTCCATCTCCTCTTTGCTCTCCTCTTTCAACTCCTTCTCCTCTTGGGTGGAGGTTGAAACATCATTTGTAGATGCTTCTTGCATCTCCTCTTGGTTCTCCTCTTTCACCTCCTTCTCCTCTCGAGTAGAGGTTGTAGACTCTTGCTTCACCATTTTCTTAGAGGTATTTCTTCGGCCTTTCACCATTCTGATACGATCTCAGTCTGTCCGCTGAAATGGATCCAAGCTTTTAAAAAGGCAAGCAGGGCTGGAGGGGGGTTGTGGGGTCTCACGTATGAAAGAGAAGGGTTGTGGGAACTGTGTGGTTATCAAGCGTAACTAAAATGGATCAGACTTCATTACACAACATTCATTTCTTAACATATAGGGTGCACATCAAAGCAGATCATCATTATGCATCTTCACACAAGGGGATTTCATGCGCCATTTCACAACTGTCATCCTTGACATATAGGGTCATATCACAAAAGGCACTACTACAATACACCTGTCAATTTGATTTATGCTGGGGTGGGGGGAAAGGGCATAAAGGTCAATGAACAATACACCTGTCAATTTGATATATGGTGGGAAAGGTCATAAAGGTCAAAGAACAATACACCTGTCAAAAAGTTTGACGAAAGGACTTATGTCTCTGACAAAGACCCATATTAGAAATCTTGGTGAGCTTCTCTGGACATATAAAGGCTATAACTAAATCAGCGCTTTATCACCTTCGTCAAAGATCAAGAGTCAGAGGTCTCATGTCCAGACCAGACTTGGAGAAACTTATTCATGCTTTTATTTCCAGCTGGTTGGACTGCTGCAATGGTCTCCTAACTGGTCTTCCCAAAAAAGCTGTGAAGCAACTGCAGCTTGTTCAGAATGCTGCTGCTAGAGTCTTAACAAGAACTAAGAGAACAGAGCACATCACTCCTGTTCTTAAATCCCTACACTGGTTACCAGTAAACCACAGAATAGATTTCAAAGTACTCCTACTAGTTTATAAATCACTCAATGGCATGGGACCAAAATACGTCAGATCTCATCCCTGTATATACACCCAATGGGGCTCTGAGATCCCTTGGAAACAATCAGCTGGTAGAATCTCAGGTCAGAACCAAACAGTTTGAAGATGCTTTTAGCTACTGTGCTGCTCACATATGGAATCAGCTTCCCATGACCTTAGATCTGCCCCAACCCTAGAGTTGTTTAAACTAAAACCTTAATGTACTCATCAGCCTTTACATGAATTGTTCCTTATGCTGCATCATCTCCACTGTAATCTGTGATGTAATTGATCAACCTTAATTCTGTCTTTTCCTTTTAGCTCTAAATTATAATTTTATTTGAGTACATTAAAATCTCTGTTCTCATGTTTGTTGTTGTCGTGCCATTTCATGCTAATTGTAAAGCACATTGAATTGCCCTGTGATTGAAATGAATAAAGATGCCTTGCCTATTAGTCATGGGTCTTTTGTGTATGTAGACAAATTTTCTGTTGTTTCAGTTTAGCTCAAATAAAAAGGGAGCAAAAACAATTGTTGCATTTATATTTTTGTTCAGTGTAGTATGAGGCAGATCCTTCAATAAAGATTAACTTTACCCAGCTAACAGTGAAAATAATTTAATCAGTGCACCTTCTCTTCCAGTCCAACATGTTTCAGAGCCTGTCGGCCACGATGAGACAAAGCCAGGTTGATGCTTCTCCCTCTCACGATATTGGCCTTCCGAATATCTACCCCAAAACACAAACAGTAATTCAGCTTCAGATCAGAGAAGCAGATTGTTTGTTTTGTTTTGGAAAACTGTTCTGGTGTGTGTGGACATATATGTTGTGGCGGACTGATATTGTATGTTACATGTCAATATGTTTGAACTCTACCTTCTCTTGCTTCAAAGATTTCCACATGAAAGCCTCTTTTGGCGAAGAAGCAGGCATTCAGAGCTCCAACCTAAACAGAGTGGAGAAATTATGTACAAATTTCTTTGGGTCACCAATTTCAGAGCAATACATCAAATCATGAACATATAACTTCAAACAATCATATTGGAAATGCATATTCAAAATAAGATCTTTGTTTGTAAAATTAAATCTAAATAGAAACAAATCTAAATGAAAAAAATTGCTAAATGGCCTGTATTTCATACAGTGCCTTCCAGAGTCCAAGAACCCCCCAAGAAACTTTGCACCACAATCAATCATTCACCCGCACATTCGCAAAAAGGTAAATAAAAATACACAGAAAAATGTAGTTACTGAGAATAAGTTCAATCTAAAACTTTAGAATTATATACTCGTGTATTAAGTTAAATTTTAATTTAGAATCAAATCTAAATTTAAAAGCCTAATTTAAATATTTAACATGTTTAGATAAACTATATGCTTATAATCAAATTTAAACATTCTGTCTAAACATTTAGAAAAAATAAAGAAATATAACGACGAAAAATCCAATTTACAGAGGAAGTTAAGTCAACATTTTTAAATTCTAAAAATAAATGGGTATTTCATTTTTTTTTTATTTAGGTAATATGCTGATATAAACAGTCATAAAAATGTAGTAGCCTATTAAAATGAAAGAAGGGTGAAGGTACAATCCTCTGGAGGAATCCTAAGGTGTTCCCTGGCCAGCTGTGAGAAAGTCCCTCCAGCAAGTCCGGGGTCTTCCTTTAGGTCTTCTCCCTGATGGACGTGCTCGGAAAAGTAATTTTGGCCACTTGCATCCGCAATCTCGTTCTTTCAAAGCTTGTGACCATAGATGAGGGTTGGAACGTAGATCGACTGATAAATCAAGAGCTTTGCCTTCTGGGTCAGCTTCATCACTGCAGATGCAGCACCAATCCGCCTATTGACCTCACGCTTCATCTTTCCTTTAGTTGAGAACAAGACCCTAAGATACAAAAAACTTCTCCACATGGTGCAGGACCTCATTCCTGACCTCGAGAAGGCATTTTACCCTTTTCTGACTCACATTTTTACAGGTTTTTGAACAAAAATTGAAACCACATGGAATGTAGACTGCTGCCTTTGTGGACTTTTCTTATAGAAGGCCATTGGTCCTGTTTACAGGCATGATAAAAACAAAAAAACATTGTGTACTGAAGTATTTTGAGATATTTTCTTACCAAACCACCACCAACCACTGCTATAACTTTCTTCTTGTATTCAGCAGGTTTCTCCATGTCACTTTGGGTTCCCTGTAGAGTTGAAAGGGATTTACAGAGTGTCGTTGAGATTTAAAAGAGGAGGGGCGTGGTTTCTGGTTGGAATCTGATGACTGTCAGGAATAATCAGTTCCTCTTTTTGAGCTAACAGAAACAACAGATAACCCGGGGTGCTGTACAGAGTCCAACAGCCAGCTCTCCAAAGACCTAAACCTCTTTAAACTTCTCTCAGTTCAATAAGAGAAGTCAACTCTCTTCATTTTAAACAATACCTCATTGTATTTTTTATATTTTTGAGAGCTTGTCCATGTTTGCATTTCTAATAAATTATGTTCAGCACTTTATCAAGAGCTTGTCAGAACCAAAGCTAGAAAATATCAAAATGAGTGTCTTGTGAAATGCCTTTCATGTTCCTGGTAACTGATTATAAAAATGTTTAACAGGATTTTAACCCTTAAGGACCCGTGGTGACACAGGTGTCACAACTGATTTCAAACATTTGCAAAAATACTTCTTGAGTCAAATATTCAAGTTTGAAACCCTTGAAATTCTATCCATGCAAATATAGAAAATTATTGTACTTCTTTATTTTATTTATTGATTTTTTTACATTTTGATTTATTTATGAACAATAACAAGGAAACTGGGTTTATTTGACAAATGGCTGTAAATAGAAAAAAGAAAAAAATCTAAATATAACCACTATTAAGACAATTTAAAACAACTTTTTATTAGGCTGTCTAGATTTTTAATAAGCTATTACGATTATTCCAATCTTTGGTTGTCTGCTCATTGACATTGTTAGACAAGTGCATTTCTGCCTTAATACTTTTCAAAACCCATTGTTTGAAAAGAGCATTTTGACGGCAGAGTTTGTGCTGTCTGAGCAAGTGAATTTCCCCACTGAATGATCACTAAAGTCTATTCTATTTTATTATTGTAACAAAAGCTGATGTTAGCCTGGATCTGGACAAGTGGGGGAGTACAGGGAGGTGGAGTGTACAGTCGGTAAAGACGACTCTCCCTCGCCCTGCCTCCAACATGCCTCCATCTAAAAGGCTAGGTTATCCAGAGTTATCTCTGTAGTTATGCTGCTATAGGCTTAGACTGTTGGAGGATACACTGACCACTTTCCACACTCGACTACTTTCTTCTACAATCTGCTCTTTAACTGTATTATTTTCTGCAATTTCAGCTGTTAACTTTATTTTTTCTCTAAGTGTTTTTCTCCCCAGAAGAAGCTACAATGATGTTCTGCTGAGCTGTGGTGGCCTCATGGAGGGGGCCATCGACTAGCACACTGCTGCTAATCACTTAATCATTCTCCCTTTCCTGATAATAACTTTTTGCTTTCCTTGACGTTGGATGTGCTACTGCTAGTTTACCCGTTTAATTATAGATTCACTAGGATAAATACAATAAAGTTTATATCTCGCCAAATAGAATATTTACTAAGAAATCACAATGTAACCATAGACACATTGCTTGGGGGGGGGGGGGGGGGGGGGGGGGGTCTGCTATGTCTTCTCCATCCCCAGTGAGTCATGGTGGATGGCTGCTTATACTGAGCCAGGATCCTCTGGAGATTTCTTGCTGTTAAAAGGGAGTTTTCCTCTCCACAGTCACTGCCTGCTTGCTTAGTATGAGGATTGCTGTAAAGACTCTGACACTAGTCAGTGACTCCATGCAACCTGCTGGGTTCCTTATATAGGAAACTTGTTAGTAATTGGCTTAATGACCTGAACTGTGTTGGAATGTTTACTGTGTGAAGGTCCTTGAAGTGAGTCTAGTTGTGATTTGGTGCTTTATAAACTTGAAATGAATTGCTTCTTCTAAATTTAGTCTCAAATGCATAGCTGTTAATTTGATGAAGAAAGATTTACAAGTGAATTTTTCTCAACTCAACTCAACTCAGCCTTTATTTGTAAAGCACCTTACAGGCATGAGCATCCCACCAAGGTGCTGTACAACAAAAGAATAAAACAATAAAACATATAGCGCCACAGACATAATTAAAAGCACAAATAAGAATCACAAAATCTAAAACATTAACAATTGCAAACCCACAGAATTAAAAGCCAGATCATAAAAGTAGGTTTTCAGCCTCATTTTGAAAACTTCTACTGATGGAGAGCCCTTAATAGTTAGGGGCAGTGCGTTCCACAGTTTCGGACCCACAACAGAGAACGCCCTGTCCCCTCTCAACTTCAACCTAGCCTTAGGAGCCACAAGCAGCAGCTGGTTCTCAGAGCGGTGTGACCGGGCTGGAACATATGGCTGCAGCAACTCCGTCAAATAGGTTGGAGCCACACCATTCAGCGCCTTAAACACCATTAAAAGGAGTTTAAACGAATTCTAAAATCAACAGGCAACCAGTGGAGAGCAGCCAAAATGGGTGTCATGTGTTCATGCTTCCTTTTGTTGTCCAAGAATCTTGCTGCAGCATTCTGGACAAGCTGCAGCCAGTTTACAGTACCCTTACTTGCACCAAATAAAACGGAATTGCAGTAGTCGAGTTGTGAAGTAATAAAAGCATGAACAACAGTCTCAAGGTCACATCTAGATAAAAACGGCTTTACTTTAGCCAAACGTCTTAAATGATAAAATGAAGAGGATACTACAGTACCCACATGAGCATCCATGCAGAATGCACTGTCCATCTTCATGCCAAGGTTGACTGCTGAAACACCCAAATATGAGTTCAGTTCACCGCAGTCTACGTTTGAAAAATCAACATGTCCACTCGGACCAAACAACAGTGCCTATGTTTGTTTCCCATTGAGACACAGGAAGTTTTCTGCCAACCATATCTTAATTTATTTTTAAAATATGTTAGTGATGATTTGTGTCTGTGTAGGAGTGTCACTGTAAAAATTAGGACTGAATAAGTGATTGTCTTCTGTCTGAGTATTAACTCTGCCTTCTAGCTAGAACCTTGCATTCAGATTTGCTAGAAATGTGGATCAACAAAAGATAGCATCCATACTTCAGATTTTGAAATTATATTTACTTGATTATTTATTTTATGTTCTATTTCCTGCCTCTGCAAAAGCACAATGGGATTAGTGGCTAACAGTAACCTTAACCCTGAAACCACATAAACATAAATACATAGTCACCCCGTTGTGTGCTGGAGAGCGTAAAAGCATTGCTGCCATTTTAGACGGGTCTCCTCACTCTCCAAAGTCAATGCAGAGTTGCCAACTATTTCTTTTTATGCAGCTTACAGTTGCAACTGTAGTGGGTTTAAAAGTCAAGAGGTCCTCTGTGAGAACCCTTTTAACAACACAAAACAAGTAAACGGCAGTGATACATTGGTATAAACTTTTATATTGAGTTTTTTTTTTTACTTTTTTTTTCATTTATGAACTTTAAATAAAAATACAAAACTAAATTGCTAAAAGCCAAAATGAAAAAGGGGACAGAAAGAAGAAAAACGTATGTTATCTGCCCCTTTTAACTAAAATAACATTAATACAAAGGAAACAATCATATGATTCTTAAAAAAATTTGAACAATATAGTTTCCGGACTGGCTGGCCAGCACAACCCCAAGCCATGAACCAAAAAAAGGAGAGAAAACAAGTTGCACAGAAAGAAGCACAAAGCTATACACATTTATACCTACATATATACACATATGCATACACAGACCCATTCCCCCCTTTTTTTTCTTTCACCCCCCAACCCCCCTCCCCTCGCGCGTTTATGTAACAGATCTATATGAGTTAATCATTTCACTTTTTATCTCTTTTTTGAAAGTCAATATTGTTTTTGCATTCTTGATTTCAGTATTTAATTTATTCCACATTTTAGCTCCATATATGGACACACAATGCTCCTTTATGAGTATCCTATGTCTAGGTATATTAATTAAGTTGTGTCCTTTTAAATCATATTTACTATGTCCTTTTATAAATCTTTTGATTAAACCTGCAGGTGGGTACCCTTTTGTTTGCAATATACATAAATTTTAAAATATTGTAGTCTACCAGATCATATAATTTTAGTGTTTTTAATTGTATAAATCAGGGATTCCCAAAGTGTGGTGCGCGCACCCCCAGGGGGTGCGCGAGCTGCCGCTAGGGGGTGCGCGAGGTGAAAAGTGTAATGGCTGCAGAGCTCAGAGAAGTCTGTCATATGTCACCATTAGCGTAGAAACTCATTTGTGGGTGGGCCAAAGTAAAAGTAAGTAGGCACAATAAATGTAATTGAAAACAAGTATATTTTTGCGCGCGCGCGTGTCCTCCGCATGTGCCCTAGCTTCATAATAACAATGTGCCGAGCTTCAGCACTCTGGCCTGCGCACGCCGATATGTTCCGTCGCGCGCGCGCGTCCTCCGCATGTGCCCTAGCTTCATAATAACAATTTGCCGAGCTTCAGCACTCTGGCCTGCGCACGCCGATTTGTTCCGTATTTGATCATTTTTAACGGTGTTGGAGGAATCTGAAGGTGAGTCATTCTGGCAGATTGTAATTAACGCCCTGTCTCATGCAGGTGTTCTGACATTGTAAACCTCACACACAGAACATTGTGGATGTAACAAAATAACAAGAAATGATTCCCATTCAGGCTATTAACAGCGCGCTGAAGATCTGAAGTTCAGAGTGCGTCTGTCAGAGGTCAGACGCGTTCCAGCGGAACCACGGCTCACGGGTGCACAAGTGAGCACATCTGGGCTGGGCAGAAGTCATTTTACAACATTGGTTTAAATAGCGCCAATAACGAGATGCGGTGACTCGAGCGGCTGTGCCGCGCGCGCGTGCGCGCGCACACTCACTTACACAGATTCAATAAGCGTGCACGCTGCATTAACTCCGGCGCGCCATCAGACTGAAGGCAGAAATGAACGCTGCCTCCACCGTGATAAAAACTTTTAAGAGGTTATTTTTCATTTAAGGTCAAATTAAGATATTAGCTTCTGGGATGAGTCGGGGCCACTACAGCCAGTGACTCCTCATGAACCTGACCACAAAAGTCCTGTTACTGCAGCATTTGTTATTCCAGTCAGGGTGGCAGCGGATCGCAGATTCAGCCACACCATAAAACAGCAATTAGTCGGTCTGAGGTAAAAGTGAACATCATGGCTATATCTTGTCCCCTATAGACATTT